TTTTTTTTTTTGCCAATTTACAACAATTTTTTTGGCCAGAAAAATGCCCATTAGGGAGAATGGATTTGCTTAATGACTGGCATCTTCATGATGACTTGTTTTATGATCATGATAAAACTGGTCATAAAATTGAGTCCAGTCACATGATTTATGATCACAATGACTTATGATGGAAATTCCAGAGTCCATTGTGGTCATATGTTCAGGACCACTTGTGAAGTACAATATTACTTGTAGGTTACTACTTGTAACCTACAATGCTTGGTTAAGGAAGATAATGCACAAAGGGCTATATTATATAACACATGTTCCTAAATAGCTTCTATATGTATATGTAATGAGAAACCACAATGTCTTCTCATCCCATCGATCAACAGTTTTACAGATACAAAATAAATATGGAAACTGCAACTACAGTAAACCATCTCCTGAATAAATTTATTCTCCAAATTGCAATAATGAGCCACATCTAAATGTTAGAACAGAGAATGACTGACCTGCCTCAAGTAATGCAATTAGCAATTTCTAGCTCAGAGACAAGCTCTCAGATATGGACTGTATCCAAGTACATCACAAATTCGAAACCAGACCATCACCTATAATCCACTAGATTTTATATGATTAGATTCTGTATAATTGAATGATTGTCCGCATAAAGTACTGTAAACGATGGATTATTTTAAATTACTGCTTCCTAGCAACTTCAATTTTCGTGGTTGTATGCTTTCTTATATATTTGTGGCATTCCAAATGGTTACTACTAAGTCTATTTCCCTTACTGCTGAATTTCAGAAGTTACAGTTAAAAGGAAAGCTGCTACTCAGGGGTAGGCTGCTGGGGGCTCAGAAGAGCCCCTAGCTAAGACTCTGCAGGGCTCAGAGAGCCCCCAATAACCTCAGAAAGCAGCAAGGGAAAGCTCTTAATAGGCTTAATTGAATTTCTGGGCATTCAGCCAAGAGCATTTCACATCTCATAAAAGTGTTGCAAGCTAGATAAACAATCCACTCAGCGTTTGCGGAAGGAGAGTCATTGAGTACCTCAGATAATATAGCCACTAGCCTCTGAGGGGATTAATTCCCAAATAATCAGAATCATGTAACTCACCAGTAACTCCATTAAGACTCCCAAGATCCCTCTCACAGTCACTGCTACTAACCCTGGTTTCACCTAGTCTTTTATTTAAGTATTAAATGCACAAAATAATTTGTTTATTCTATTCATTCATTCCATTTTCTATGGCTGCCCAACTCAACCAAGTGTAACTCTGGGCAGCTTATGGTTCTAAAATTACACAACAATTAAAAAAAAACACACACACAATACAACAGGAAGAACATCCAGAAAACGGATGATGAATATGCAAACCACGTCTCCGCTTTCCCGGTTGCATTCAGATTAATTCCCCAGTTCAAAATCAGTTAACCGGTTCTGTTCAATTTGGAGCCCTGATTTAACAATAACCCGATGGGTCAGATGGACAGAATGTTCTGCTTTCTGTCAGAAATTCACCCTCAGATATCTCTAGAAAAGGGAGGGGGGGTTTAATTCTGCTCTACTGCTATTGGAAGGCACCTGAAATAGATACTGGCATTTTGAATGGCATATACAACACATTTTGTAGGACCGTAGTAGCACTTGATGCAGTATATTTTTGCCCTTCCCCCCTTTTTTTTTTCGTTCTGGTCTTTTGCTAAAAATACACTGTGTGCAAGGATCACATTAGCAGGCAATCTGCATTTCAGCCCATTGTCATCATTTATGTTAATGGTTTCCATCTTCCTGCAAGAGCAACTACGGTTTTTTTTTTAAAAAAAAAATCCACCTGCAGAATCTGCTCGTGCCTCAAAAATCAAAAAATTGCCAAAAGAAATAAGTTTTAGAATGGAAATCAAGGGGGAGTTTGAAGATGTCAAGGCAGCTTGAGGCCGCTGCTCCTTCCACCAAAGGGCCATTTCTAGTCTCATTTATAAGAGGCTAGATTTAATTTAATTTGTACAACAGGGGCTGTTTGATGAATGGGGTATGTGGTTGTTAAGGGGGGAAAATCCATTTCAAGTCCCAAGTATGTTGAGATGCTTTGGGGAAACAACCCAAAGAAATGAACTTAAGTCAGCCTTTGACCAGCAAAGAATGAGCTTTTGACTCTCAAATTTATATTCTGTTTCCTGAAATAGACGGGACATCTGGCTCTGTGGTACCAGAATAGCTGTCTTGAATATATTGTGCTCGACCAAAGGAAAGGCTGAATAGCCCTGTTAACTTTCTACTAACAAGGATGAAAGTGCCATAACAAAACTGCAGACAGCTTTTTACTTTTAAATGAAAAAAAAAAAAAAACCTTCCAAAACAATCCTGAGAAGAAACACCTATTTAGCTGTTATCCAAACTTTTGAAAAATGCTTGCATTTTTTTACGAATTGTTTGTGGTTATAAAAACTTGAAAGAAAATCATTTTGCGTTTTACAAGATACTCAGAAAATCGTCCCTGAAGAATGCTAAAATCCAATCCTTACTTTTCTTAATTAACAGCTGATATTGCATGAGCTGAGCATGTGATTGATGGGATGGGAGAGAAGGAAGGAAGGAAGGAAGGAAGGAAGGAAGGAAGGAAGGAAGGAA